CAGCCGGCCGCTAGCATCCGCCCGAAGTGGTTGAATTCGACAGCTCTTGCAAGTTCTAACGGACTGACAGCAACTGATTTACGAAGGAGAGTGGATTCATTACCTGATCTAAAAAAATCAATTTTTGATTACTTTCCAGAGTTAATCAAACTCACTGAATAGCATGTGTGCTCTAATGCGTGAACCTTCCGCATCACTCGTATTGCAGGTTAAAGTCTCTTCCCACTGCGCTTCGGTTGAAGTGTGAATTACTGTTTGGTAATTTCTCGGGGGAATATTTTTTTTTGTTACCGCTGCTGCTGCTGTTAGTGCTGATGCCTTTCCGTCCCTCCTCTCTCTCTTTCCCCTTTGCCTTCTATATTGTTGCTTCCCCTTCTCCGTCTCCCACGCTTCTACCTCTGCACCAGACCCCTCTCCTCTCACTCCCTGCACCTCTCTTTTTCACCCTCGCTGCAGCTGCCAGTTTGCCCCTCCCTCCATTTGTCATATTCTTCTTCCCTGACTTTATCCTCCCCCTCTTTCTCTCTCTCTCTTTCTCTCCCTCTCTCGCCCTCTCTCCCCCCCTCTCTCTCTTATCCCCACGGCCTCTGCGTCTCTCGTCTCCTCTCCTGCTGCTGCCCCCATAATGATCGCGTGGCCTGCTGGCATCCTTTGGGACAATTTACGCGCCGGCCAACCCCGGCCTCGCCCAACCACGCCACGCCCCCTTCGTCCCACCCTCATCGGCGGCGAGGCGCGGATAACGTATGAGGGATCGCGGGGCGATAAAGAAGCGAGCAAGTGGTCGCGCCGATAGCGGGAGCCGGGCGCGCAGCCTGTAAACAAGTGGCGCCGGCCTCAACCGCCGGCTACTCCGCTCTCGCACAGTGGACCGAGGTCAGGATTTTCGAACCTGGCTAGATCGCTGCGTCGATTTGTATTTATTGAACGATCGATTCATTGGCCATATGCTAAAGTTATTAGTCCCGTAAGAGTAGCGTATGGTGTTTCCTCGGAAAGTGGTGGTTATCTTACCTCGCTGGATGATGAGATCCGGAGTAGGATAGTGTAACATATTAGCCAGCGTGCCTCATGGCATCTATTTGGGGACGCTTGGGAGGGATTAGCCTAGCCACAGGAAGTAGGCGTTTTTTCCGTAAAGGGAAGAACGCGGGAAACGGGGACACAAAGGCTTTTGCGAGGTTCCGGCTTCTTTTATAGAAGCTTTTCACTGTTATAACAAGCGAGGGCGGCGTGACGTAGGAGGTCACGTGAGCCTCGCCTATATAACAGAGTGTACAGAGCCAAGTGGGTGGGTTCTGGGAGACAGTGGAGAACCTCGTGCGTGTTGCACAAAAACTTGGCGCCAAGACTGCATATGCGAGGCCAGGCTCGCGAGGCTGGATCATTAGTTTGACGAAGCCTGCGGACTTTAGGTCCTTGAGTGACTGCCGGTCACGGGGGAGCGATGCTGTGTGGTGCTCCGAGCGTGAAGAGTGTGTGAGGCCACGCATTCACGCCGAATCTCAATCGCGATAAGATCGCTCCTGCGATCGATGGCAAACCAGCGTTGGTGCGCCAGAACGGACTTGATGTCTTCAGCGTGACATCCGGGTCACGGAAGCTAGGCTTTGTGCGCGCTTCAAAAAGTAGGAGTGGCGAATGCCACAATCCCAAAACAAGTCTTCAATCGGGTTTGGATCGCCTCCCGCGATCAGGGATAGTAGGTCTATCAGAGCTAGGGTGTAAGTATATTATTAAGTGATATATTTGTTTTGTTTTCTGTTGAATACATATAATTTGTTATTACGAAAGCTCTGGTCTGTGGTCACTGTGAGTATCCATGACGTCACAATAGGGTAAGAAATGGGAATGAAAGACCGCCTGCGGTCCGTGGCCTTTTCGTTTCGGGAACTCCTCGTGCAATCGCCTGGTGTTGTTCGGAGAAAGCAGCCGGCCGCTGGAATTGTCCCCCAGACTGAACTCGACCTAGCTATCGACCTGGTGTCGAAAATCATGCCACTGGCAGGACTCGAACCCAAGGACTGTCCGGTCAGAGACATCAATTGATGCCCCTCCGAGTAGCTAGGTCGAGTTAAGCCACGTCGTGTGGAAGAGAATTCTAGAGGTCGACTGCTTGTAGCTTAGAGCCTGTTCTAGTTGGACAGTAGGGAAATGCAATTGGTAATTGGTTCTCCATCCGGGTTTCTATGAAGTGTCTGTGGGTTATGTACCAACGGACATTGGTCATTGTGCGTAGCACTATATTTTGGAAGGATTGCAAGGGTTTCCGGATGCTCCGCAAATTGGAGCTACGTAAGTTATTGATAGTATTATGACTAATTTATAGAAAAGCAGATAATTTTCTATTTTCGGAGATGGTATTCTGTTAATTAGGAGATATAATTTGAGTAGGTTCTCATAAATTTTATTCGTTCTGTGAATGATGCCAGGTTTCCATGTGAGAGACGTATCCAAGACGACGCCTATGTATTTCATTTATTTATTCAAAGGAACCCATGCGGTCGGGTAATTATTTATTTTAAAATTTAAATTATTTTTTACACTTTAAGACAGTGTTTTTTAAATAAACGGACAAAATGTATTGTAGTAGCCCTGACAATTTAGCCTTTAAGAAAAATGACCCTTACGGTGCCAAGACTAACGGGGTTCCTCCATTATTATCTGATTTAAATATTGTGACCTGTGATAGATCATCAGCTGTTATCCAATCAGGCGCCGCGCCGCGACTTTAATTTTGGGAATATATCCCGATTAAATAAACCCGTTAGATCTGATGACGTCAAAGGGCATTACGTTCAAATCGGACAATAGTTCTAGCACCAGTTCATAGTTCTAGCCTTGGAGACCTTTTTAAACAATTGATCACGAGACTAGTAACATTATGTTTCTTAAGGAACAATCTTCAGAGTTCAGGTTTAGCAATCGTGACATTGCTTTATGCTTTAAAACAAAAGGATCACTTCAAGTGTTGAACAAAGAGATTCCCAAATGTATGAAAGAGAGTATGCAAGTGGTGAGACATTTGATCCACCGTAGGAGCCAAGAGTAAACAAGTCTTCAATATGCAAGAAGTTTTAAATATTATTGTCCTGCACAATGAGTTAGCAGTGTGGTATTTTGAATAGTTTTTTCTTGAGAATGTGAGAATATCTAATAACAGCGTCCGTTATGAGCATAAGACATAACCTAACACGAAGATATGATATAAACTTATCTTTAGGAAATTTCTTACCTTTCACCTTTCCAACATTTTCTGTTACTTCTTGCCAGAGTTGTGGAGTTGTGGAATGTATTTCCATCACATTCGAGAATCGGTTTATTAGAGTTGAAAAAAATGTAACTTTTCCTTTTTTCCCGAACAGCCAAATTCTCAGGCGGCCATTTTGTTGTCTGTAAGGTGACCGTAGAGACACGTACAGGCGTAAGCTCCTTATGAAGATGTAAAGTGATGGGCTGCACAATACGTCACGTGACTGCAAGTGCGTAACGTCGCTACCGAACGCGTGGCGCCAAAAGTCCGTAATATTTCGGCCAGGTGCCGCCCGGGCCAACGGCGCGACCCCACTGCGTCGCGGGTCCTCAAGGCCGCTGGCCCAGCACCTGGGCCAATCAGAGGGCCAGTCGAGCTTCTCGGCGGGCGCGGCGCGGCGCGGCGCCATGCAAAGAGGCCGGTCGGCGCGAAATATGAGCGTGACGTCACCCCAGCCCGCCGCATGCCAGCCAGCCAGCCGCGGAGTACTCCGCGAGTCGGGAGCTGAACTCGGCTCCACCTCGCATAACACGCTCGATCGGAAAGGGGCAGTTTAACACAGAAAGAATAAACATTTTTTGGGAAACGATCAATTACAAGAGAGTAAAATGTTTTATTACATTCCGTCTAGAATATGATGTATTCTTACACAGTATTCGGACATAAAAAATTGTTTTTACCTTTTTTTACAGCAACATTGAAACTACTTTCCGAACTACTACTAGAAGTGCAACAATTAAAAAAATAAAATACATAACAACTCCAAACGGAAAAATGCGCAATATGTTCTTGTAATAATCAATTGAATTTGTGTATCACACGAGAAATTGCAATAAAATGGAGGACAGCGCCATGCGCACCAGTTTCGTCGTAGGGTAATCACATTCGCACGAGTGATTGATTCATTGATTATTTCGTGTTTCCGGTCGCGTCAGCTGCTATGGCCATTTACTCCAGCGGACACCGTCCCAGGCGGAACATTATGTTATGTACATTACGCTCTTTTACGTTGTTTCACCCGGTCTTGCCAAGCCAAATTAAGAGGTGTCGTCGGCGAAGAAATGGTCTGCATTCATGTCACGAACGTCGGTCGACATTTAAGAGATTAATTAGATCGTTACTGATGTCTTCGGTAAAATCTACTTCTATGGTCATTAGTCCTCTTAGTGTAGTGAATATTTATTTCGGGAGGTAGTGTTCATTCCCCGAGGGATTGTGAAATCAAGTACCGACATAAACGGCAGCTTACGAAGTATTTCCTCTTCAGGTATCTCCACCAGACAGGACAAGCTCTGGAGTGGTCGTGTAGTGCTTGTAAGTGAAACTGATGAGGGGAGAGGATAAGCAAGAGGAAGGAAAGATTGCATCGGAGAAACCACAAAAAACTTACCAGCGGTTGAATTCGACCTGGCTGGTAAGGTAATGTCGAAACCCGCCATTTGTTCTTGATTTCTTAACACGTACCCGTCAGGGACATTGAAGAGTAAGTGACAATGCTGGCTTTGAGTGTAGAACTTTTACTAGAGCTCAATTAGAGAACTTTTACTGAAGTTCTACCTATTGTTTTGTCATTCCGCCAAGGAGACAAAGTTCGCATGAAAACCAATTACTTATTTAGCTAGTAATTAACAAAAGTAAACTTGAAAACTTGCACTATTAAAAGAAACATTGACACGAATTTTGATTTGATTAAAGCAGGTCTATCGCAAGGAGTGATAAAAGTGAAAAGCGCGGATTCTTTCGGTGATTAGGACGCCTGCACCTTTGAAAGGCAGTGGAGACCACGCTGCAGAGGCAGCGAGTCGCCGGGACGTCCGCTCGATGGGAACTCTGATAGGGGAAGGGCGAAGAGGCGCGACAAGATGGGCTCTTGAGGGGCCCGCGCCGTGCCCATTGCGTGCCCGGCGGCCGTCGCATCGCGCTGAGTTCCGCCACGCGACAAGACAGCTCCCCCGCCCCCCTCCTGCCCACCCACGCCGCCCTTGACTTCGCCTTGCGGCCGTCTTCCCTTTCGCAGTAAAAAGTAACGAAGCGTCGAATTGTAGTCAGACGCTTGGAGAGTCCTTAACTGTGTAATCAACACTTTCAATTGACACACCAGTGCCGCGGGGTGTTTTAATCGCATACTTTTTTTTTGTTATTTCTCGCACGTTTTAAAAAAACGTAATTCGGTTATTAATTTAATTGGGACGTCGTACTAATGGAGAACTTGTATATTTTTGGAAGTAACTCGTTGCAATTTGCTTTGTAAATCGCATAGGTTTACCCATGGCATGCTCCGTTGTGCTCCGCTGTCCATAATAAGAGATCACTGCTTTCTCAAATGCAATATTTTTTTTCGGGTGGAAAAGCACGAAGCCACCTCTTGTTTAGCATTTTCCATAAAGGGCAGACCTTAGCAAATTTATCTGAACTTGACAAATGTAAATTTTCAGACATATGTAAATATTTTACAATATTTTCAAATCTGTCTCTAGACATTGTATTGGAAACCACTACATTATGTCAGTCATTAGATTTTTTCTAGTACATACGATATCTAGGAAAGGGATTGTCTCCTTTGAGAAGAAAAAAATATTAAGAAAATTCTCACTTCTGAAACACTTACTTCAAAATAAGTCATTCTCATGCCTGGCATATATTAGTAACCTGTATATTTGAAACGTCAAGTTACTTGGGGAATCTGCATACCTGTTGTGAGCATGTGTGTAATTTCTCAACGCAGGTGCACGGTAACTCTGACTACATAGTGAAATGCGAAGAGTGATAATAACTAATCCTGCCTTCGGAATTACATCCTTCATCGCACATATTTCGGAGAAAGCCAAGGAACAGGTGTCATACATAGTTCACGTTATCGGATGAAATGAAAATAGTATGTTGGTGACTGTTGGCAGTGCCCGCAGAATCCTTACCTTGTGGATGCATTTGACGTATTACGGTACATAAAAAAGGTGTTTATTAAAATCATTAACGAAAATATTGTTCGTCTTTTATTCCAAAATAATTGATTTCTGTAGTTGGAATGTCCACATACCTCGCGAAAAAAAACTCCTCTACAAGGAATTGGCGATTAGTTCCCACAACTTTGACAAAGTGGATCAAAGGAGAGGGTTGCAAAATACACGTTTTGACCACATGTTTTAAATTATTATATTATTAAAGTCAAATTAGAAATGAATCCTACAAGTATTCAAAAATGTGCTTGTGAATAAATGTGAATAATGGTCTTAATACTTTTTTCGTGATTTTAACGAAGCCAGTTTTGTTCAACTCATTACAAGCGTTGACTTCTGCACCTTTAAACTGCTGTTCAAGACTCTCGTAACGGTCGTGAAGCGCAGAGCGCAGCAGAAATCCAATACCCCGGTGGCGAAGGAAACAAGCACTACTGTACAGCCCGAAGTGACAGCTTTGTTTGTTCCGCAGTCAAACGGGTGCCAAATGAATCCACTCATTTTCATTACAAGCAAACAAAACGAGCCCCTCCCGCAGTGTCACCAGAGAATCAGCGCGGATGGCGGAGTCCATCAACCTGTCACTAATTATGTTTTTCTGGCGCTCATTTGCGCAGTCGTTCATCAACCGGCGGTCTATCACATCGCAACAAGTACCATCTGCGAGCGAATACTATGCATCGACAGCGAACGCACTCTGCAGAGGGCGCGTGGCCGCTGTAAACACGCTTTCGGCGGCCACAAAGCAGAAGAGAATATTGAATGGCACATACTAATTACAGCGAAGACTAAGCTGTAGTCGAATTATCATAATGAAAACGGGCATGTACAATCTGTTGTACATGCAAAAGTAACGCACAGTTGTGTTAAATTAGAAAATAACGTTATGAGAATGATGGAAATTTTTATAATTATAAAATATAATTCCATAAAAAGACATTTTCCTGACCCAGGAAGAAAAGCTCAAAAATCAGAATCTACAAGTTAATAACATTAACCATAATATTTGCAAAGAAATACCTCGCATCAAACTAAAAGTCGTATAATTGAAGCTGGTAAAAATACAAGCAACATAAAATAAATAACATTCAGATCCAAAGAAACTAACAATGATAATAATATATACTTATATGCTTCTACATTTCCCGAGGACACCAACATTTGAATACCGCAAAGCATCAAGTTTGAATTTGTTATATGTACTTAGTATGTTTTTAAGGACAAACGTACCCTAGGTTGTCTACCAGAACAAAACATTCATCTTTCACAAATTACTTCACACTATACATTTTATTTAAACTCGCGTGCCTCTGAGAAAACTCACGCACTTTAATTATTTCTACCCTATTTCCCATCTTCACTATCCTTTTATTTCCACATTAAGGAGAGTCATTGTTAACAAAACGATTTTAATTGTTTAAAAATGAATAAATGTAACTTCCAATGTACTTACAGAATATCAAATAAAAATAGAAATCAATGCAATTGATAATGGAAACACATTTTCTATAAAGCCTTATTCACAATCATAGATAGGTGTTTTTGCAACACATCACAACACTTCATAAATCGAACATTTCAAATATATTTGTATACAATCTTTGTCGACAGTTTGTTTATCTACAAACATATTAGAAAAGTATTTAACTCTTCAAGAAGCTACGTAAAGTTGTCCATGCGAAAATATAGGATCGAGCAAGTTCAAACCAATTCTTTCCAATATTTATTCTTGATATTTCAATGCAATGAAGCGCTGAACCAGCAATAATGTAAGTCGTCTGTGTAAGAATATAATGTCTACGGGGTTTAATATCGTAGATTATGACCTGAGGAAAGTTAATTTTAGTCGTCAGGGCCTAAAATTTTACGATGTAATGCCCTAGAAGGTTTTGTTTTTGAGTTATATAACTACATAAATTTCAAGAAAATGTAGTGGGTTGCATTTGACGGGAAAATTTAGATGCTTGTTTGTTTGTTTTTTTTTAGTTTTTTTTACAAATCCTTCAAATTAAAATGCAATTTGTCAAGTCTCCGTGAAATTATCTTTCCTTAGAGACCTCATTTATAAAGATTGGTAACGTGTCTCATCTGTACTACCGAAATAATGAGAGGATGTGTAAGAAATATAATAAATATAACACACCAAACAATTCGGTCTATACATGAATTGTCATAGACGAAGAGTCTAGCTCTTAAATATCAGACGTCTGTAAGAATGAGTTAGATTTCATACTTGCAATGTTTAATTGGATATTAGCTTACTTTTACATTTCAGGCCTCAGAATCACGAACACCTCAAATACCAGCGACTCACCTGAAAAAAAAAGAACAACACTTTTAAATTGGTGCTACAATTTCTCAATTGAGTAAATAAATACTGCATTTCATCACAATAGAGTATATACACCAGAAGAAATAATCACTAGATAAATGATTGTTTGGAAGTATTTGGCGACAATAATTGATGATGACACTACAATGATGTAGGTGCAAAACAACACAAGCAAAATCTACAAATAATTAAAATTTCAAACAATTTAAAAATTAACGCCATCGTGTTCTCAGTTTTTCTTTCCACGTTTTGTGGATTGTACATCGTGTACTCCTAGAACAGGTCTGAACAACTTTTTGAATTTAGAATGCTTTCCCCCTCCTGTTTCTCCTTTCCCTTCGGCCATCAGCGCCGCGCTGAACCGCGATGACAGCTCACAAAGCATTCGCTACATTCTCCGGACATATTGATTGATTGATCAATAGATTGATGATTCCGTATTTCCGGGCGCGTGAACTGGTACGTTTACTTCCGTAAATGTAGTGCATATTTTATCACGGGAGGGGCCAGGAGGTCCTTCCGCCCAGGATGGCGAGATCCCGCTCTGACCTACCACTAGGACTTGCGGGGTTTTGCCGCTCCTCGGGTCATCGCCCCAGCCGGAACAAGCTCTAAGCTCCCGACGTGCCTGGCAGTTCAGTGATTGGAAGTGTAAGAATGTGTACTTAAGGGGAGAGGATACGACAATGAAGAGGAATGAAAGATCCGACGCGGTCCATGGCAGGTTTGTTTGATGTATAATTTTTTTTGGCTCCAGAAAAATATGCAAATTATCGAGTGAGCCAGGCCCCGCAGCCATCGGACGAGCCGCTTCGCTCTGCCTCCCGCCCCACGAGGAACCTCCGGCGCTAGCTGCGTTATGGAAAGTTCAATTCAATTCATTGGTGTGACTCGATGGTTCTACTTTACGTCACGAAGCTCATGCCATCAAGCCTGCTGTTTCACCTATCCATCCTAATTCCTGTTATTATACTTGTAAACACGAACGTCGTAAGACTTTAATGTCTTTACATAATGTAACAATGTTCTTCTGAGTTGAACTCAGAAGAACCTACTACTTATTGATTCCAGTTCCAGAAGAGAGTGATAGATGATCGAATTATACTGCTACAGAAGTATTTATAGTGTATTATTCAACATTACAATAAACTGTTGTTTGTTGAAAATTTCGCTCAAGTGTTGAATAATAACAATTCCGATACGTTACCCATATAGTAGAGAAAGAAGTATCACTCGGACGACTTAACAGGCGATTTGAATTGAGCTCAGAGACCTCTTTTAGGCTTGAGGATCTTTTACAAGCGGTAATTATATATCATGTTCCATTATCATGGGATTTCATTTTAATTCAACTCTGAAGATAATTTATTTTTTGCAAGTAATATTTGCAATTCATCAGAACATTATCTCATGACATCATAATTCCATAAATAACAATGTTCCAGTTATCATACACGTGTGTCGTATAATGGTGTTGCCACTTCTTCAGACACAATGCTTGTATATGTTCGTGTTGTAACATCGTCTCTTTAAATTGTTTTCGATTCCTCCGGAAAAATAAACAATATCCTTATTCCCCGAACAAACAAACTTGTTTTGACCACACAGAAGCACGTAAGCACACAAGAATAAACATTCAACCGAGCTCTGCGAAATAATGAAAAGTAAACCGCGCTTCAGTTTCGGTTTGCTTACGGAAGACTCACAAAAGAACCATGAGGTCAGAACAAGTCAAGTCGAAAGCGAGAGCATTTGTTTTCAATAACAACTGTATATTTTCTGAAGAAACTTAACTGATATTTAAAATAACACAGTATTAACTTTTATCTTTAACTTTCTCTATTTACATTTATATTCCGCACAAATTTAGTATTGTATTTTGAGTGAGAAGTATTAAAAGGTGATACACCTTACTGTTAAAACCTATATGGAATTGCATTTAAAGTATAATTGTTCGTAAGAATCATAAGGAATATTAAAGATTCGTGGTGAGACCTGAACTTTATCACTCCTCTCTGACACAACTTTAGTGGATTGATCCTATTATTTCTCCCTGATTAAGGACATATTCCGTTTACTATTGTATAGATTATCGTTCTCCATTAAAGTGAAAATATGTTGTTGAATCAGATAAAAACTTTTTATGATCTGAATTTATAATGAACGGTAATTTGAACATTTTACGGTAATAATATGACCTCTCTCATCTTCAGACAGTAAAAAACTCATCAGACTTCAGAGCAAAATTAAAGGTACCTTCTACATTATCTCCTATGATGAGAAAACCAATTCACACGACTAATATATCTAACGTTTCAGGAATTCCTTCTAATATTGCACGTCATCTGAAATTGGTGAATAGATTATCAATGCTTCTGTATTTTTAACGAGTATTTAACAGTTGCTGGTCTTGTTATTTTATTAAAATTACTTTTTAAGATAATTCTAGAGATACGTTTCTTTATTTTTACCAAACTCAGAATAAGTAAAACGTTCTTCCACACATCACTTTCGGTCTCGGTATATAAAAATATATAAGGAGAAGTAAGAGTTAGGACGTGCGAGAGGCGTCACGTACTGAATATAAGTATGCTTGCATTAAAACTCAGAATAATAATTATAAATTCACGTTGTTAGCTAGGTTTTCTGATTTTTTGAAACAAGTACTGAAGAAGGATTATGTCGTGTATTCATTATTTATTCTTTCTTCGGTTTTATTTACTAAAATAAATTGATACAGTAATAACTCACCGAAAAAGGTATATTCTGAGAGAAAACGTAAGTCCAAGAGTTGTTGAAATGCTTGGCGCAGAGTTTCAGTTAAAGGGAAGATATTAACAAAATACTCTGTCAGCGAGTATATACTTGCAATTACTTATATAGTGAACATTTATTCGTTCTGAATACTTTGTCTAATCATTCTATAAGTGACGAGAAGGTAATACATTCAGACAAGTACATATGTATTATTTGTTAAAATGAATATAGATGGATGTCATGCTTTTGTAAGGGTCGTGCGCACTAGGCCTGGACGGGACGTAACACAGTTTTGCAGCCAGTTTGGCTCCTTGCTTTGACTTGGATTATGCATGGCGACTTCATAATGTTAAGGAAATAAGCAAATGTTCATTTTAATAGCGAAAGAAAAAAATGAGGCAAGGAGTCAAAGAAATGTCAGATTACAGGTTCATAATGAAAACAGAATGAGAATGACAAAGGGGGAAATTCACGTATTATATCCTGACTTGATGGAAGATGAAACAATTATTTCAATACTTCAGGATGTCTCATGATACATATAAAACTCAAGTGGATGTTTTGAAATATACGTCTTGGTAAATATTGTATATGTAATTATATTGAACTGACGGATAGATTGATAATTGCATTAATTTATTTGTACACTTAGGAAAATAATAACTACAACAAAATAAAGGAGTTTAAGCAAGCAAACTCCACAAAAATAGTTTTCTTGCCTGAAAAATGTCAATTGCTGCTGCGTTTTATAACAAACATGGGTACTTTTTTCTTGGTGGCAGAATATTAAAAGAAAAAATATATATTCATAAGCATTGTTTCGGGAAAAAGTGGACCAAATTTTGTGGGCAAATCTCATTTCAGTGAGTTTTAAAAAGGTGATAATTAGAGTTTTACTTACAATCTAACATTTCCGAGATTTTGAGAAACTACGAGAGAATCACTTTTTCTCTCAAAGGCATATAATAGTAATATTGACGTGAAGTGTCAATATTAAGAACGTGCAAAGCGTTCAAACTATATTACAAACATTACATGCGTGAAATGTTGGTAATATATCCATACCACCACTTTAAGAAATTGTTGTAATAGGTATGCAATAGTACTATATCACGCAACTACTTTATTATGTTAAACTTTTTGTACGAGTACATGTTTTGAAAACGATCGATTTTAGGAGCGAGTTTTCAAATCTGTACGAATATAATAAATGACCAATTGCATTCGTATTTTTTTCTATAACAGCTTTATAAATGTATAAGAAAATAAAAGTAAATTTTGGAAAATAACTTCATTATGACGTCATGGGTAGTTAACCTTCGTGCGCGAAAACTGTGATCGGCTTTCGGTTTACCGCTACTCCTCCCCCCTTATTCTCGTGATCCTCGCTCTGCGATTGGCTGAATGTGTGATGACGGAATTATTCGTGCCGTTAACAGCAAAAACGTCACAATACGCGTCATAAGATATCATTTTATGAACGATTTACTGTTATAAAAAAAGGTTCTTTACAATACTGGAATACAAAAACGAAATTTAGTGACGCATTTCCAAACGTCACATATGAAATTTTATTGTTTTGTACATCTAATACTATATCAGAAATGTTTTATGGTGGCCCTTTACGGAATGATTCGGCCTCCTAACTCCTCACGCACGAGTAAATTTCTTATCGTGGAAGTCCAATAAAGTCCTCCATAGCTTTCCGAAGCGTCTACGTAATCAGTTTATTTGCTTCTTTGGGGACACTCCCACCTTCGATGGCCTTGAAGTTACTCACGCAACTTGTCCATTTCCTCGCCCCCGGGAGACCCAAGGTTCCATCCGCCCCTCGCAGCACCAGTGATGGTGAACGTCATGGCAGGCCTTACGACTCCATTGATTGATTCAATGGTCAATGATTCCGGGAACATCAACTGCTAAGTTCATTGGTCCCGTAAGTGTAATGCATGCTTTAAAGAGAAAGGTGGCAGAGATCATACCTCGCTGACTGGCGAGTATTGGCGCTGACCCACGTTGGCTTTGGGGGATTTTCCCCAACCAGGTATCTCCCACCAGCGTGGCACCGCCCCTGCTGGGACAAGCTCTAAGCTCCCGATCGATCTCTTGACGTGTGATTGTGTAGTGCAAGTAAGTGTTACTGTATGTAAGTAACGAATGAGGAACGGACAAGGAAGCGGAAGGAAATATTGCGGACAGTCCGTAGTCCGTTTGTTAGGGTACTG